TAACAGGATGACACAGTCTGAGGCATAATAATAATAAAATGAGGAAAAATAATAAAATGTCTGGGAGAGTCTCCTTCCCAAGGCAGTAAAAGACATATTGTAAAAAAAAAATTCACAAATACTATTACATATTTAAATATGTGCTTGTTACGGTAATATAAGGAAATATTTATAATTAAATCAATTATTAAAAATTTGTCTCTCTTTGAAAACTAAAAGCGTTATGGGTAAACCCAATTTCAAAGAAAACTGTCTACTTCATCAGACATTCTTAGTAGGACTCCAGTTAAAACAGCAGGCTTACTCATATTAATCAACTGTTGAATTTCTATTTTCAACTGAACTGTTACTATGAAAGCATTTTAAGTGGTTACAGAATCCACATGGAGCTTTGAGCAAATTGTATTAAAATCCTTTGAGAATTGTATTTAATGAGCAATAATAAATTATCAATGGCTTTACCAGGCTGTTAGCCAGTTAGTCTTATTTCACATTCATAAGAAGAAGCATACATACAAAAACATAATAAACATATTATTTTTTAAATAATCACAATTTGCTCTCCATCAAGCACATATATCAATCAATCTCTTAAATACTACTGTTTTGTGGTAATTCTGTCCCCTCTTAAACACTCAGAGTCTACTTTTTTGTCTTAGTACATCTCCAAGAGTAAATATTAATTATAGTAGAGCCTGTTTCACATATATTATTAAGAACTGGCAATGATCCAGCGTTACCTTGATATTTCAAAAGCAACCTTGTTTTCACTGGCATCATCCCTATCACGACAGCTATGTAGAAATAACCAGCAGGACATTGTGAGGACAAGAGAGAAAGCCATGTTTATCTTAAGTACATACTGTTTTTTTTCTCAAAGTTGCCGTCCAGTACTCCAATTTGTTGAGTACTCACTGCTACAAATGCATGCGAAGAACCCTATCTGTCTGTCCAAAAGCTGTGTACGCAAATTGCATTTCTACAAAACAGCTTCACTTTAAAGTCTGGCTTTTGTGTTGACTTGATAAGATTCTGATCAAAAGATTAGTAACCTTGGGGAGCCTGGGTGGCTCAGTCGGTTGAGCGGCCGACTTCGGCTCAGGTCATGATCTCGCAGTCCGTGAGTTCGAGCCCCGCGTCGGGCTCTGTGCTGACAGCTCAGAGCCTGGAGCCTGTTTCAGATTCTGTGTCTCCCTCTCTCTGACCCTCCCCCGTTCATGCTCTGTCTCTCTCTGTCTCAAAAATAAATAAATGTTAAAAAAAAAAAATTAAAAAAAAAAAAAGATTAGTAACCTTGAAGGTATTTAAGTGTCAAAACCTGATGGCTTTGTCCTGATTTCCTTGCTAATTTTCTTCACATAAATTTGATCATCTGTTGTGTAACACTTTACTCTTTCTATGAAAGTTTAAATAGTATATCCCAGTATACTCAGGATACCTTCTAGAGACAGATACATTTGGCATTATTCCCACCTGGAATTTTAGGAAGTCGAAATTGGGAGAAATTAAACATCTTCTTTAGGTTACCAAAATTGGTTAATGGCTAGGAAAAAAAACTGTATCAAATTACTTCAGCTTTAATGCAATCTCCTTCATGACCCCTATGCCTAGTTTTCTCATGGATACAAAGAGATAACTGCCATTTTCTGTTACCTTAACAAATACAGACTAAACAAGAAATTGTGAAATGGTGTTGAAATATTCAAAATAATATAAATATGGCTGTAGGTAAAATGCAATTTTAATATGACTGAGAATAGCATCAAAATTATTAAGAAACATGGATTTATTGGCATTGACGACCTCTTAGCTGGAGGCTCAGAATATACAGTAGTTTCATACTGTTCATATCTCTTTAACTAAATGTGATCAACAGTTATCTTTCCATCATACCATCATCGTAGACTTAATAACTCTTGTTTTTATACTCACATAGTCTTCAACTTTTTTGTCCATTCATGTTACAGGCAGTGTGCAAAACACCATGCTGCAATTCTCACAGTTGTGGAAACAAAAAACAATTTGGCAACAGATAAGAATATCATTTAAGTGTTTATGTTCATCTTGTTCACTACTCTCCTGCCCAATAAACTGTGCCCCAATTCACTTATTGTAAGGCTATTTCATAGTGACAGACCTGCAACGTTCTGATTAAGTGGTCTTTCTCCTACATCATCTTGCACCTGTTTGGGAAATAACTTATGAATCTAGCTAGCTAAAATGGGGATTTTAATGATTTATATATAAAAGAACCAATCTAAACTAAGAACCCAGTTTTTCTGTTGGTGTTTGAGGTATGATATATATATATATATATAATATTCTCCTGAGAGTTACTTAGGCATATTTTCCACTTATAAGAAAATAGCATTATTTTATAATAGGGATTATTTCTCAATCCAGTCTTCCCCTGCATGTTATGTTATCGAATTATTAGATTATACTTACTTAAACTCTTTATACCTTTTTGTTTGACTTCTTTCCAAAAGAACTGAGCAATTATCTTATGAATTTAATGAATAAATTAAATCAATCTATTATGAAAAAAATAAAACACTTTTCCCATAAACTTAGGGAGAGGTTGCTTATTTGATTGCTTTAATTTGCATTATGAGTTTTCATTTTACTCTGCAGTACTTTTTCCAAAATAGAAAAAAACAGAACTTGAAATAATCCTCCTAAAAAGTGACCTTTTGATGCCATGGAATGAGTCAGTGGATCTTACTTGTGAGGTTTATGAGATCAGGTTTATCTTCTGTAGTTAGCCAAATAACTCAAGGAAAATATAAGCCATTAAAGGCAGGTTACATTATGTAGGCCTGCACTATTTGTGTTAATTCTGTCTACACTACTTACATCTTTTTATAACTTCTCAGCTTTTTCCTTAATTTTACACTTTATGTCTGGCTTTTGTAGTCATGGAACAGTGCAGTCAGCTTAATTGAAAGGAACAAAGGAGCTTCAACTTAGTCTTAAACTGAGACCAATCAATATTATCAAAATAGTGCAATTTGTCCTTAGTGAAAATCTCCTTTCTGGCAAAATCTCAAGAAAAGGACTATTAGCATCTTGCCTATTAATACATGTCCTTGCATATTTAAGATTAAAAACAAATACGATCTTTAAGTACTGACATTTTCTGGATCTTTCGTCTAAGCTGCTGAAAAGCACTTGTCTGTGATGATTTAATTCATTTTAAACAACCTAAAAGTGGTGAACTTTATAACTGACTGAGATTCTGGTCTTTCACTCATGGAGACTCTGGCTTCTAAGATGTAGCAGGATATCTAAGGAAGCAGCCTAGTTACTCATTCTCCAGTTTACTCAGAGTAACCCTTGCTGAGTGCTATGATTGTGTCTTGCCTACTGGGCTATCTGTGAACTCAACAGCAAATGGAATATCTCTAGGGCACGACATCCTGTTGCAGCATGCAAGGTGCATTTTCATCACTGTTACCTAAGCAAATTTGTTTGCTGCAGTAGCACTAGCAGAAACATCTGAAACCTTAGATCCCCCTTGCCTCACAGGTAAGGTCTCTCTCACATCTTCACTTAATATGTATCATTTACTCTCCAGGTGTACATGAGAATTGATAACTCCAATTGCACAAGTCCACACACAGCATCTGGAAACATCCTTCTGTGTAGAAGGTGGATACATTCCCCGTCTGTCTGTTGAGGCAGCATAACTTTCCACAGCTGTCATCTACAAGATTTGTTACAAATTACTCTGGGTACAGTGTAAAATCAAGGTGGTCAATATTATAACTTCTGGGGAAACTACTGTGTCCTATTAGGAAAACTGTAAATCTTGACTTCCTCTCTTATTATTTCCACTATGCTTTCCTAAATGAGTGGCCATCACCACATGGTCATATATTTATAAGGAACAAGGGCTGGAACAGTACAAATCATGGTACAGAGAATCAACTTCTCGTGCTTAAGAATTATGCGAGAGGGGCACTGGTGTCTCAGTCAGTTGAGTGTCTGACTTCTGCTAGGTCATGATCTCACGGTTCGTGAGTTTGAGCCCTTCATGGGGATCTGTGCTGACAGCTCAGCCTGGAGCCTGCTTCAGATTCTGTGCCTCCCTCTCTCTCTCTGCCCCTTCCCTGTTCACGTTGTCTCTTTCTCTCAAAAATAAATAAATATTAAAAAAAGAAAAGAATTATGTGAGAGAATAAAAATAGGGGGAAAATGTGATAATCTGAAATAATTACCCATAATAATTTGGCTCCCATTTCTTGAGTACTAAGTGCCAAGCATTATGGTTAGTGTTTTTTTATATACTATCTCATTTAAATTTGTGATTCCAAAGAACAAAGATGACCTCACTAACAGAAGAAAGATGGGCTGGAAAATACAGGTTTAATCTATAAGCAAGATCTATCTATATAAGATGGTCTTTGGAAGGCAGAACATATTGAGAAGCTGGAGAGCAGAAAGGATCTTCAGTAACAGCGGTTCCTTTCTGGGGAAAAGGATGTACAAGTCAGGCCTAGGGTGAAACAGTCCTAGAAGGGACAACCTGTGGCGTGTGGGGGTGGTGCTCTGTACAAAAACAAACCTGCCCCATCCTTCCTAGCGTTAGAGACCTGTTCAGTGCTGGAACCTTCCAAGAAGCACTCAAGTTTCTAGGGGAGTTCCTGGTAGGCTTCAGCTGAAGGGACTCTATCTCCTGGTCTATAAAACATTAGTCTGGAAAAATGATTCAAAGCCAGCAACAGGAAAGGGCAAGTATTTTCTCAAGGTCACATCCAGATCAAAATACTAGAGATGTGTTATTCTGAGACACCTGGAGGGCAAACCACAATGGATGCCTTACAATAAACCCTTGAATGAACCCAGGTCCCATTACCCTGCCTAACTCCTTTGTCATCCTTCCCCCAATCTGAATTCTTTTTGAGGAAACGCCCGCTTGGTGAAATTGTGGATAAACAGATCTCTAGGCCCACTCAGTGAGCGGTTCTCAAGCCCACTTCTGAAGACCACTGCCTCTAACTCCCCCTTCGCTTTTCTTATCTGACCTCGCCTCATTCCTAGCCACTCAACCAAAGAGAGCGGCAGAGAGACTTGGAAGAACCAAAAGGAAAAGGAGACCAAAGGCGTTTTCTTCTAGATGTTTTCAGAAAGGTGTTCACGTCATTTCCAGATTCCATGAAGAGATAATCTCCAAGGTATCACTCAAATTAAGGAGACGGGACTTTTTTCCTCCCCCGCCCTTCTCCACGCACCAGTGGAAGACGAGGGAGGGGACGGCTGAGAGAAGAGGAGGAAGGGGGAAAAGTGAGAGAAGCAAGATGAGAAAGGGGTGTTGAAGGAAGAGATGAGGGCGAGCAGAGAGGAGTGTTAGGGGTGGTGGCGAGCCCCCGGTG